GTGTCAGCCCTTCCCAGATGTGTGTCAGCCCTCCCCAGATGTTTTTCAGCCCTCCCCAGATGTGTCAGCTCTGCCCAGATGTCTTACCAGCAGAGACACGGCCACCTTTTCAAGGGACGTTTTTCTGAAAGTTTGAGTCAAGAACAGAGGTGTGCATTCTATATGGGGGCACATTTTACAGGACAAAATACAGTTGCTTCTTCCATTGTAGAGAATGCGCCAATTTGGTTGATAATGAGGGAAGCTGCACACGTGTGGGGCAGGGGGTTATGAGGGATCTATGTATTTTGTTGCGAACCTAAAGTGCTGTAAAAAAAAAAAAAAATGAAGCCTTCGAACAAGTAAAAGGAACGATAAACTATTAGGAGTAAATCCTCAGTGGTTTTATATGCCTGAACGAAAACTAAGAAGGGAAAGTTCATAGCTCACCCTTTAGTCAACTGCTTATGGCAGAAATCGTGGGTTTTAGATCCTATAACTTCAAGTAAGGGAACTGGATGGGTGTCACATGAATATGTTAGAATCTTCAAATATACTAGCTGCACAGTTAAATGTATTATTCCGTAGAATCAACTTTAAAATAATAGGGTGTGAAGTAAGAAGAACCATCCTATTGTTTAAAGTTCAGCTCCATACTCTTAAAGATCTTGAATGATGCAGAGAATTAATACTTCCTGCCTGCCACTAATAATACTGTCTACTATTAATATTATATTTTTAAGTAAAAATAATTTTTGAAAGATAAAATATAATATATTTTTAAGTAACAACAATTTTTGAAATATAAAATCATAAAATAATATGAAGAATGAAAAGGAATCATATTTACAAATAACAAACAAATACAAATATTAAAACATGAAGAAACAGAATAGCTCAAGTAATGGAGGAATTAAAGGAAACCTGCCTTAAAACGACTCATAAAATGGAGGTATATTTACAAACAAGGTATAGAAATTCACTGGTTAACTAACTTGTCCAGCCCTTTATATAGACCAAGTAAGATTCAGATATAGACCTTCTAGTTTCTGATCAGTCTGGAGCTTTCAACACACTTGCAATTATCTTAGACTTATAAATGTTGTTGAACATGAAAATTAACCTTAAAATACAAATGATATAACTTAGTTGTATGTACTTTTATATTAATCTGAAATAAAAAAAACTGAAAATGAAAACTAATATAAACTATTTGAAAACCAGTGTGGCATTTTTGTTTCAAAAAGTGTAAAAATGTTTATAGTTTTGGAACCCAGAATCTCCTTTCTGGGATCTGTTTATTCTGAGGAATTAATGTCATATGTGGCAAACCAAATATATGACAACATTAAACAGCAAAAGTTGGAAGCTACTCAAATGTTTCACAATAGGACAATGGTTTAATCCTATATGATACAAAGGGATAATACAGAATAGTATTTTTTTAATGGGAATGTTTATAGAATCTATATAACTATAATGTTAGGAATGAAAGTAGAACAAAATTATAAAATTATACCATTATCGTAAATATATTAAACATATATAAGAATATAGGAATGGACACACACAAAACAAAACAATTATATGAGAGTCTTAAAATTGTAGCTTGTCTGTGCTTACAAGTTTAAATATTTATATCTTCTTAATGTTTTTAACTTCATTGCAAGGGATTTCACATAGAGAATTCGAAGTTTAAGAGTTGAGGAAATCTCTATGGAGAAAGAAATCAAAGGAAGAGAAAGTTCCAACTTTAGAAGATGTATGTGATTGGTGTAACCTCAATTCCAGCTTAAGAATTACTATTAAACTATGAATATTGTTTTATTTTCCCCTTTCAATAAAAAGATAAATAATTATTATTTCACCATGCATTAGCAACTCTTCCATTCTATTTTTTAATATTCTAAGTACCAGAGAAAGGAATGATGTATGAATTTTTAGATTTCTCCTTGGGAGATCTAAATGTCTGGGTTTCATCTGGTACAGAGAGAATTTTGTTTTTCTCACAATTACTTAGGAAACATTTTGTGTTTTACTTGAGATGTTTAATTTTGTGGTGATTAATCAGGACACACATTCGATATTTAGAAGTCAAAACTTTATATTAAAATATGTATCAAAATGTATAATTTATTAAATTTAATTACACTGAAACCCATTAAATTACATTTACAATAACATAACCAGTAAACCATTTCTAGAAACAGAAATCAGATCTATCACCAGGGGAAAACAAGATACGTGTCTATTCATACAACCACTTCTCAGCCAATTTTGTGGCTTGAAAATAACTTAGATTGCTTTCAGTACAAATGTGCTGTGACCAAGCAGGATAAGTTGGTTTTCAGAATTGAGAATAGTGGAGCCAGCGTCATACAAAAGATAATGAAGCTTGGTCATCAGCTGTGTGCTCATTCACTTCGGTGAGGAAGCAGGGCTAAAAATTAGCATTTGATCATCTTAGCCTTTTATATATAAATTGGGGATCTATGTTGAATTATCAAATTGGATTCAGTTGCAAAGAACTAAGTATTCTAGCTAGCTTATAAAAAAGTGGTTTTTTTATTTAAAAATTTATAAAATTATTGAGAGTTAACAGATTGCTAGTTGCTCTTGAATGAGTCGAAAAGCCAAATTATAGGGCCAGTTCACAAAGGAAATGGTGATGTCTTTTGAAAGCAGGACACCACCCACTTCAGAAGCACACTCCACTCTGTGGCTGGGAAGGGGATTAAGATGGCGTCACAGTCAGGAAGAATTCGGCACCTAGAGGCCCCTAGTATGATTGCCAGCTCTAGGATCCCACCATGCCCACTGTTTTTTACCAGCAAAATGACTGTCCTCCTCCCTCCTTACAATAAAGCCAGTGGCTAAGCAAGGAGACACTTTTTTTTTTTTTTGAGACAAAGTCTCACTATGTTGCCCTGGGTAGAGTGCTGTGGCATCACAGCTCACAGCAACCTCAAACTCTTGGGCTTAAGCGATTCTCTTGCCTCAGCCTCCCAAGTAGCTGGGACTACAGGCACCTGCCACAATGCCTGAGTATTTTGTTGTTGTTGTTGCAGTTATCATTGTTGTTTAACAGGCCCGGGCCAGGTTTGAACCCGCCAGCCTCAGTGTATGTGGCCAGCATCCTAACCACTGAGCTATGGGTGGTGGGCCAGCAATGAGACTTTTATTAACACTGGTGCAAGGGGGAAAGAGGGGAATTCAATCACTCATTGCTGTGCTTGCCAGCTGAAAAGTAGAGGCAGCAAGCTGCAGCCTGCATCTCACTTCTGCTTTCAAATCTTATGCACCTGCGTCTGACTAATACACATCCAGGACCCTGACCGCAAGGTGTCTCATAAATAGGAATGTTAGCTTTCCATCTTCTGCTATAGAGAAACACACACAAGAGTGAGGGAGAAACAGATGCTGGACACTAACGTACCCTACCCCCTGGTTACCCCACAACCATACACAGCTTCCTCCCCACAGTCCCATTCCCATAGAGTGCAAATGTCTCTTTTACAAATGAAAATGTACTCACCTTCTTTCCAAAAGGGAGAACCAAAAAAAGGCTCGCAGGTCAATTTGTCCATCTCAGGATGAAAATCTTGTCTTTCTAGAAGGAACTACATTTCAAAGTTACCTACCAATAACATACCATATATAAAATATCACAAGAAAGGAAATGGGTGAAGTTATTTCATATTTATAAATATATAAAAAATAATGAAAGGAAGAGAACATGGCTGATCCCCGCAGTCTTTCACTCATAGCGCTGCAGCTTCAATCTCTAACTTCCTCCTCGTCCCATCTCTCATTCTCTTTGCCGTCAGCCAGAACTAAGGCCGCGTGAGGCCCTCAATATGTCAGGGTAATCCCAGTGTTCATTCTTAAGACAAGACCTCTTTTTTTTTCAAGTCAAATATACATAGATCATGAATATATTTATGCATATGTGGGGTACAATGTGTTGATTTTTTTTTATACAATCTGACATGGTTACATCAAACCAATCAACATAGCTTTCGCCTCATTTACTTGATTATTGTGTTAATGATTTACTGTGGCCACAGCTACAAGTGGCAAGTCTAGACAGGCTCCAGAGTATCTCCCAAATTCCAAAGAATTCCTCACCGCCCACGTTGGACAGCAGTAGGCTTAGCTGGAAGAGAATCCAGGAAAATGTGACCTCTGACTTTCCAGAGTCCACAGTGCACAAAACACTTGAAAAAAATGGGTGCAGGGACACGTTACTTTCCCTTCAGTAATTAAGTGGGGAGAAAAGATTACTCTTCCAGTACTTCCCCAGAATAAAGAAGTGGGGGGCTGCACTTTCCTACACTGATGTGTGCTAAAGTCTAGGTTCTTAGACTCTTTAACCACTCTTAGGTTAGCCGTGTGACAAACGGATCTAGTTTGCAGGGAGCTCATTCTGGAAGGATGCTCTCCACGCACAAGCTGGGCTTCCACAGAAAGCCCTTTATTCCTTCCTGCCCTCCCCGCCCCAACAACACCATTTCTCTACATTGCAACCACTCCAAGGTACCACGAATGTTCTGTCACCTCTTATACATCAAACTGATGCAGCTTCTGTGACTCCCCTTTATGTGAAGCCCAGACGGAAATAGTGTTCGTGCCTCTCTCAGATAATTCATTCGAGGTTTCACGGGTTTGAATGGTAAATGGTCCTGGGACCTGTGAGAAGCATTTCTTCCGTTTCTTTGAATGATTCCTCCTTCATGTCAAGACGCCTTTGGGGCCCTTTCCTGTCACCAGGGTACAAAGTGGCAGGTGGTGTTGCTTTGGTGAATGCTGCTATGATGGGGCCATTTACGCCAATGCTAATCAGGCAGTGACAGAACTGAAATGTGGCCCCTCGGGACCTGTTAATTGGGTGAGACAGAGGTGTGTCTTCCTGGGGGTAGGCACTGGCCACATCCAGATAAAAATAAACAGGTAGACGTTCAAGCGGTCACAGTACAGAGGAAACTTTAAGATTAACCTGCCGTATGATAACTTGTTGACAGGTTGGTTACTGGAAAGACACGGAACAGGAAGATTCAGCAGAAACAGTCAAAACTCGGGGCAACGACTCCTCCATCATCCTGACAGGACTAGAAGGAAACACCCGGTACCACTTGACAGTGAGGGCCTACAACGGGGCCGGGTACGGGCCGCCCAGCGGGCAAGTGAGCGCAACCACCAAGAGATCCCGTAAGTGAGCTGGGCTTCTTGCTTGTTTCAGACACTGGGAAACATCTGCACATTCTGCACAGTCAAAGGGAGTTGGAGTCATAGCCTTGCTTCAAGGCTTGGGTCTGAATTCCAAAACTAGCTGAGAAAATTTCGCATTTATAGTATATAAAGGTTATCTTCGTGGGAAACGAGGCCAAGCAATTTTGACACAGAAAGGAGATAAAAGGATCCAAGTTCAAAAACTCAGTAGAGAAACTCTTAAAATGACACTCCAGAGCAAATCCCTCCTTATCTGACTAGTTGGAAGGGAGCCTATGTTGCCAGCCAACTACTAAACATGAAAAAGGATTGAAATAGTCACAGGCTTGGAATGAGGAATGTATTTGAGAATCCGCGTCCGTTCACGTCCACTTTCCATTCTGCAGCCCCCAGCCAGGCGCCCGGCAACCTCCAGTGGGAGCAGCACGGCTCCCAGGTGTCCCTGGGCTGGGAGCCCGTCGTGCCATTAGCCAACGAGTCTGAAGTCGTGGGTTACAAGGTGGGTGTTTCCTCCCTCTCCTGCACAGACACTCATCTCCAAAACCGTTACCACGAGGATGGACTGCTAGGAAGGCTTTGTAACATCTGCCACCAACCTTCTGTTTTTTCTAATCATTTTCTACCTGTATCTTAGAAAGAGACCCTTCCTATAGGCGGAGAAGCCGAGGGAGACAAAATCAATTTCAATTGCACAAGGTAGAGGAAGGGACGGTGTAAAACAAGCAGCAAGAATGAATATGGCAAAAAAAGGAGGGGGGAACGGGTGGAGGGAGGGGGTTTGGAGGGATCACTTCTGAGGTTTATCTTATAGGGGTACAAGTGAATCTTTCTAAGAGTAGAATGTGAACGTTTTAAAACAATAACTGAGAAAATGACATGAAGGCTGTGTTGACCAGTTTGATGGAAGTATTTCAGATTGCATGTGAAAACCCCACACTGTCCCCCAGAAGTGCATTAATGTACATAGTTACCATTCAATTAAAAAAAAAAAAAAAAAAAAAAGAATGAATGTGGCCTGCAGAGGGCTCGGGAAGCAGGGCCCAGGGCCAGCAGAGTCCAGGCAGAGAGTCCTGCCGGATTCGCCCAGTGGACAAACTGGCAGAGACCGGACAGCTTAGTCTGAGTAGAATGACTTTCTATTAACAAAGAAACAGAAGACAAAAAAAGAACAAGATGCGAGGGCCAACACATTAGGTAGAAAGTAGTCTATGGAGAGAAACAGCGAGCTGCATATGACGAATCTCACCCACAGTCATCCTGCTGTGTGCCGGCAAGTTCTGAAAATATGAAAACACGCACACGGTTTGTTTCTCAAAATTGTAAGACAGTTTTGTCTCTGTCTTTAAGATGCATGTGGTGTACATGTCAACCAATTCAAATTGGTCTAATTTCAAATTCTTATTCCATAATGTCAGATTCTGTTTGCTACCTTAGACTCTTCAGGGAATCCTTCCTGGAATATTATTCAAGATATATTATTGAGTTACAGGTGATATTTAAATTTTCCCAATGATACTATTTAGACAGAAAAGCACCATAGGTAGGTTTTTATTTGTATTTTATTTATTTATTTATTTGTTTGTTTTTTTGAGACAGAGTCTCACTCACTATGTCACCCTTGATTGAGTGCTGTAGTGTCACAGTGCACAGCAACCTCAAACTCTTGAGCTTAAGCGATTCTCTTGCCTCAGCCTCCCAAGCAGCTGGAACTACAGGTGCCTACCACAACACCTGGCTATTTTTTTGTTGCAGTTATCATTGCTGTTTAGCTGACTCAGGTTGGGTTCAAACCCACCAGCCTTGATGTAATGTGGCCGGCATCCCACCCACTGAGCTGCAGGTACCACCTATAGTTAGGTTTTTAACTATAGAGATGGTATAAGACAGTATTTTGTACATCATGAAGTGCTTAAATTAGGAAGCTAAAAATTGAAGAAATTATGAATGGAATATATTTTTTGATAGGTAGGTCCCATTGATACTTTAAGACGCAAACTGTAGCATTTGTTACATACTATAATCAGTATAGATCACAGACACTCTCCCACTCGGGCACAAGCACACATGGGGATATTGAATTTGAGATTTGGAGGTGGGGGAAGGAGCCATTTTCTGTATCGTTCCTTTCACCCTCTGCTTTCCACACCTTCCCCCAAAGGCCATGTCCTCAAAACTTCTTCTCAAAGGCAAATATACCCTTTAATGATCAGAGGTAGCAGCATGGCCAGAAAATGTTCACATACCATCACAAATCAATCTAATTTCATTAAAACTATGACAAGTAATCTCCCAAACTGAAGAGGCAAAGTAAAATGCAAGGAAGAGCCAGATGACAGTGCCTGGCCTCCTGCTAACTGGCGGGGCCTGCATTCTGGGCGCCTCTCTAGTGTTGAGGGAGAAAGACCCCGGGCAGGAAGAATGCTCGGCCATGGTGGGCCCGGGCTTCCCAGGCTAGGTGCCCTGCTCTCTGCTCATAGCACGCCCTCTATCCAGCCATTGCTCTTACTTATCTCTGTCCTCAATGATTCTAGAATTAATTAATTAATTAATTAATTGGGGCCCAGCCAGACATATCTTATGCGATTATTCATACACGTGTACTATCAAACGTGCATTTTCTCACATGACCTTCCGGGTTCTGAGTCGGGCAGATTTTAATGCAAATCCTAGTTGTGTAATTTTGAGTAAATTCCTTAACCTGTCTGAGTTTCATTGTCTTAACTTCAATAATGTCAAAATACCAACGATAATACTTGTCATACGGGATTTTAAGGATTAAATTAGATAATTTGTCTAAAATGCTTGGCACCTAAAAGGGGCTGATAGAAGAATCGATGCTATTTTTCTCATTGTTATTGGAGAAATTTTTAAAAATTTAACAAAGAAACTGACCTTTAAAAGTTGCCTGCCCTCTAAGTAAAGACAGCACCAGTCACCTGAGGACCCTTCTTGCTGGAACGATCCCTAACATAGTCTATTTTAGTTGTATAAATTAATGACATCGCCAGAGAATGTTGTGGGGTATTTTTCTTTTTTCTTTTTATTTCCTTGAAATGGTTGCACTTCTCTGAGACGGAAGAGCTCAGTTCCCCAAAAAGGCTGCTCTTAGCCTGCTGAACCTTATCAGAACCTCTGAAGCATGAGGTAACCCCCAGGGAGAGACCTGCGGCCAGGAGGGGCCCGGGAGGGATGGGGGACTTCCGAGTGATGACTAGGTTAGGTTCCACACCGGCCCTGGATTCTCCCTGGAAAGCAGGTTTTTCCAGGGCAGGTGGCTAAAGATGAAAGCTCCTCCTGACACAGGCACAATGGGAGCAGAATGCAATTAGAAATAAGAGCTGAGGATATAAACTAATAGATGAAACACAGTAGACGCAAGCTTTGCCCCCCTGGTTCTGAGCATCCCTTTGAGGGTAACTTCTGCAGCTTAGACAAGGATCTCCACGTGGCATGTAAAGAACTAGACGACCCGGAAGGAGGTGCGTACAGACATGGGGGAGCAGGCTGAGCATGAGACCCGGAAGGAGAAGCCCTCCCATTTGATTCCTGAAAACCACTACCAGACCAGGAGCAGCCCCAGTAAGTAGTGAGCCACTTCTTCCAAAGCATAATAGTGTGTGGCACGCCCCAAAACTGAGCAAACGCAGGACCCAAAACACATCATGTCTTTCTCTGCAATGTAATTCCAGAGAGACTTGACCTATTAAGACTAAATTTATTCTCAAGATGCTTGGAAAGTCTGAGGGCAAAGGGAGAGCTTTCACAATTAATTGGAATATCAAAAGGGGAGGTCATTTTATTTGTACCATTTTTTATGCAAACCACCTTACTTTCACAAGCAAAATAAATCACTGTAAATGTATGTATGTAGGTTTGAGGAGGAGAATTTAGACTTAATGCCTGAGGTTTAAAATGCAGGGATTGTGTGCTTCACCTTGTACACTAATCCAGTCTAAGATAGATGAATTCACGTAAGTATTTACCTTGAAGTTTTCCAGTTTGTGAAAGTGATTAGAAAGTAGTAAATATAGAGGAAGCGTAGACTCGTTCTATGTACATAACCCAGAAAGTATCCAAAAAACTCTTCTTTTATTTATTCCTGACATGACGCACAAGAGGCTAGATTAGTGCCTAACAGAGGCTAGGAAACGTAGAGGGGTGAAGGGTGAAGGGTGGTTGATCAATAGGTACAAATAAAGAGTAGGGCAGAAGAAATAGAAACTAGTGCTCAATAGATCAGTAGGATGACTATAGTTGTAATCTATTGTACATTTCAAAATAGAGAATAACTCAAATATTCCTACCACATAGAAAAGATAAACATTTAAGGTGAAAGATATTCTTAAAATACCCTGTTTTGATTTTTACATGTTATAGGAATGTATCGAATTAAATCATAAAATATGTACATTTTTATATATCAGCAAAAGAAGGGAAAAAGTAAATGATACATTAGAAAAAGACAGTGTTCTTTGATTTTTAGCAGTTGAACTTATTTCAAGTAGATAAATGCTCATGAATCCCTCTAGGAATTTTTAAATTTATTTTGCCATTTTGCATAAAATATGATAAGAATACTATAAAAATGTATATCATTACATGATAAAAATATAGTTTATATTAAGAGAGTAATAATAATCTCACAAAGTAAATTACAAAAATAGCGTAATAAGATAAAGCAGGAGAATTTGAGATTTGAGCAATCAATTTCCTAAGAAAGGATGTAGTATCTTACTCCTTCTGTGCTGCTGTAACAGATCATCTGAGATGGCATAATGTATACAAAATAGAAACTTATTTTCTCACAGTTCTGGAAGCTAGGAGTCCATAATCCAGGCGCTGGAGGTTCACGTCTGATGAGGGCCTCGTGATAAAGGTGTATTCTGCAGAGGGGAAGAAGGCCGTGTTCTCACCTGGCAGAAGACGGAAGAGCTAAAGGGCTGAAGCCCTTCATAAGGGCCCTAATCCCTTTCATGAAGGCAGGACCTGTCACCTCTTAAATGACCCTCTCTTGATAACATCACATTGGCAACACTTGAATTTTGGGAGGACACATGCAGACCCCGGGAGCAGGGATCTTGCTTCCTGATTTGATTCACACACTGGGGTGTCGACAACGTGTCCGACTACATGATATGACCAGAGGAAGATGTGATGATAAGAGAAATTTTGTTCAAAGATGTAAGGAGGGAAAAAAAGACAACTCTCTATCACAAAATCTGATCAGGGCCCTCAAAGGTGACCAAGAATATAGTGGGAAAAAAGGATGGAATTTAATCACATACGGTTGCCTCACAGGTGACACGTTAAAATCGAGTCCGTGCAGGCAGACGTGAGCATCGTCTGGGGCAAAATTTCTCCCTGCTTCATTTTTGACACTGTCTGAAGGATCCTGGACTTCTTGAAACTTTAAAAGTCCACAATTAATAGCAATAATTTCAAGATTTCACAGCTTTCATCAACTACCAAGAAGTATAGAAGCCTAAAGAACCAGAATAT